CTAGCGATGGCCTCCAACCTTCTAGTGATGGCTTCCACCCAACTAGCGATGGCCTCCAACCTGCTAGCGATGGCCTCCAACCTACTAGCCATGACCTCCAACCTTCTAGTGATGGCTTCCACCCTACTAGCAATGGCCTCCAACCTACTAGCGATGGCCTCCAACCTGCTAGCGATGGCCTTCTAGTGATGGCTTCCACCCAACTAGCGATGGCCTCCAACCTACTAGCGATGGCCTCCAACCTACTAGCCATGACCTCCAACCTTCTAGTGATGGCTTCCACCCTACTACCAATGGCCTCCAACCTACTATAGCGATGGCCTCCAACCTACTAGCGAGGGCCTCCAACCTTCTAGTGATGGCTTCCACCCTACTAGCGATGGCCTCCAACCTACTAGCAATGGCCTCCACTCTACTAGCAATGGCCTCCAACCTACTAGCCCTACTAGCGATGGCCTCCAACCTTTAGCGATGGCCTCCAACCTACTAGCGATGGCCTCCAACCTACTCGCAATGGCCTCTAACCTTCTAGTGATGGCCTCCAACCTACTAGCAATGGCTTCCACCCTACTAGCAATGGCCTCCAACCTACGAGCGATGGCCTCTACGAGCAATGGCCTCCAACCTACTAGCAATGGCCTCCACCTACTAGCGATGGCCTCCAACCTACTAGCGATGGCCTCCAACTAGCAATGGCCTCCACCCTACTAGCAATGGCCTCCAACCTACTAGCGATGGCCTCCAACCTACTAGCGATGGCCTCCAACCTACTAGCGATGACCTACTAGCGATGGCCTCCAACCTACTAGCGGTGGCCTCCAACCTACTAGCGATGGCCTCCAACCTACTAGCAATGGCCTCCAACCTACTAGCGATGGCCTCCAACCTACTAGCGATGGCCTCCAACCTACTAGCAATGGCCTCCAACCTACTAGCGATGGCCTCCAACCTCATAGCGATGGCCTCCAACCTACTAGCAATGGCCTCCAACCTACTAGCGATGGCCTCCAACCTCATAGCGATGGCTTCCTCCCTAATGCCGACTTTGAACATCTGTGAACACAACCCAAGAGAGCTGAACAGCTCTTCCACTCCTCCAGCTGTCGTCTATGACGCCTGTTGCACAGTGCAAGAGACACAACCCGCAATCTTCCAAAATCCTTCAAACTACAAGCGACAAGACTCTCCGTTGGTTTCAGTTTAAATGAAATTGAATGAATGACGCAACCTGCATCCTCCTCATGTCCACCATCTTCACTTCTTTGGAACCCTTGAAATTGACCTGAACATTGACACACCCGTTACCCATTTGAACAAAACCTTGTATTGAGCAACTGTGTCTATAAGAGACCAACTGCGCACAGAGGGCGATAGCCTAAAGGGTCGCAATCAAAGACCCCAAAAGTGTCAAAAGCAAAAAATGAACCCAAAAATCCTGTACATGAACATGCTCTTGCCACTGACTTGCTGCATATGCAATTCTTCCGCTTTTCCGACTCGTCTGCAGTCCAGATTGAGGTGCGGTCGGCGTATTTGCGGACATTGGCAGCTGGCACGTCTTTGGCCTGGCAACGCAGTGGATGCAATCAGTGTTCATTGGTATATACAAAAACGACACAAACATTGATTCCTGAAAAAGATTCAGGACAAACCCAAGGCAAATCCAAGCATAAACCTTGACAAAGAGTGAGCTCTCAATCCAAGACTCACAAACGTCCGCTACAAAACAAGACATAAAGAAGAAACCGCTGTTTGATAGCAAGAAATCAACATTGAGCATGCCTGCTGCACACAGGAAAACGAATGACATCTACGATTCATATCTCACCGTCGCATTTAGCCTTGCTGTGATGTGTTCACTTTAGTTGAATGCTCAAGAATCAAGCCTCTTGATCTAAATGTGATTTAAGGTTGATTCCTTCTAAGCGTTGAATCGACCATACACATGCTGCAATTGAGCCGTCACCTCGAATACCCACAACAATCTGGCAATGCCATAGAAAGAACCTCCACAAAGTATGAACTGGGAAAGAATTATCTGTGATGTTTCGAAATTTTGCAGTATCAAGTGTTGCTTGCAGGTGTCCGTTTTGCCGATGAATGATTATTGACGAGCAATCTGAAATGGAAAGTCCAAGGAAACACACATAAAATCCAAACAATACAAGCAACAAAACCGAAAAACGAAGTGGCCAATTGAAATTGGGAATGCAAAAACAAAAAAACAAAAATGCTGGAGAAAACTTGTAGAAGGATACCGCTGAACCGCTGTACGTGCTGCAGCCTGTGGCAACAGGCAAAAACAAAAAATTGATACTCTCAGCGCGGGTTGCGCTCCAGGAAATCATTTAGAACCAAACCATGCTAGGAGAGTCGGAGAGTGTTGCCAAAACAAAAAATGTTGCCAAAGGTACTTATTTGTTCCCCTGTGGGCGCGCATGAGGCTCATGGCCGGCGTCGCACACACGGGTGAAAAGTACAGAAGTACAAATTGCTGCAGCGTTGCCACAAATACGCGTGTGGTACAAAGAGTTGTTCAAGCGTTTCTCATGCAAAAGGAAGGCAATAGAATCGCTTTCAGAATCAGCAACTGATGCACCAACGCTGTAGAAGCAACCCACGCAAACAAATACAGCGTCTTGCTGGCAGAAACTGCACCACTCAAGTGAAATCAAACTGTTTGCTGCACCCAACGACGTGGCACTGGCTGCTGCCGGTTCCAGAGCGCTCTGCGGTTTCACCACATCTCAGGTGAGAGCGAGTGTCGGTGTGATAAGAACCGGCTTGACTGGCAAAAAATCTATTGAAGACATAAAAAGGTGCTAGTAGTCCGCCACCGGCGTGTTTTGTGGATTGTCTTGGTTAGTATAGCTTGTCTTGGTTTCAGCTTAAGGTTTGTCTCTCCGCGCGGATTTTTCGACAGCCTGACGCCCCCCCCCCCTGTGTTTGGTAGTGTCCTAGGTCCCCCTAGGCGTGTCTACGCTATACGTGTGTAGAGCCTGTTCTACTGTATAGATTAGTCTGTAGCTCTTCAGTCCGCTTTCGACCTAATTCATTTGGCTCAAGACTTAGTAGCCCAATACCTGCATCCGCAGCCATAGAAAAGGTGTGCATCGCTGACTCTCGCACACCGAACGCACTCGTGTGACTCACTTGGTGTTTCGATCAGGTCCAGTTAAGCAACTGCCACTTCTGGAGGAACTTACCCCTCAAAGTGGTAGTGGAAGACGTGAAACCAATACCAACAACAGTTCATCGAGAGAAGAAGACGCCAAAGGTTTCTGTAACATTGCCGTTAGCATTGCAGAGAATACATGAGAAACTGTCTCATCCAACTGAACTCTTGAAACTGCATTTGAAGCACTATCACATCTCAACTGAGCAGTTCAAGAAACGTACTTCAGCTTTGAAGATTCCTGCTAAGATCTAAGAAGAGTACGAAAAGGTAGTCAAGCAGTGTGACACATGCCAGAAGTCTAAAAATGCACCATCAAGATCAAGAATTTCAGGTATGAGAAGTGAAACGTTTGGAGAACTCACCTTTGTTGATCATGGTGAACTAGCTATCAACGACAAGTCAAAATTTCTTTTCCTGATCATCTATGACGGTGCTACTTCTATGAC